AAACCTAACATGACTTACCACCTAGTTCAAACCTCTGGCTCATTATTTCTGCAATGGTCCCCCTCTATCCAGTGATGCCAGATTCCCACACCCTTTTTTCCAGTACAACCCAGGGACCTCTCATTTCTCAGTTCTTGATCTCAAGGATGCTTTCTTCTCTAGCCCTCTCAGCACTCAGTCTCAAAATATCTTTGCAGCACTCAGTCTCAAAATATCTTTGTTTTCACTTGGACTAACCCTGACACCCACCTCTCCACACAGCTCACCTGGACTGCCCTATCCCAGGGGTTCTGAGACAGCCCACATCTATTTGGCTAGGCCCTAGCTTCTGACCTACTCTTTGTCTCTCCCCAAATCCAAACTCATATAGTATGTAGATGACATTTTACTTTGCATCCTATCCTTAAAAATTAGCCAAACTAACACCTCTGCTCTTCTAAATTTCTTGTCCAGCTGGGGCTACAGAATCTCACCTTCCAAGGTCCAACCATCAACTTCTCAGGTCACCTACTTGGGACTAACCATTACCCCAACTCACAAAGACATTAGAAAGAAAACACCCAATCCAGTCTCTTGCAGCCCCCTCTACTAAAGAGGAAATGTTATTGTTCCTAGGAATATCTGGCTTCTTCCGTTCCTGGATCCCCTCTTTTTTCCCTCCTTGCTCACCCCTTATATGAGGCAGCTTTGGGCCCCCCACATGAACATCTCCTCAATCCCATTACTAAGCCTTTTCAGAAGCTCCAACAGGCTCTCCTCCAGACTCGAGCCCTTCATCTCCCAGACCTAACATGTCCTTTCTCCCTCTGTGTAACAGAAAAAGAGGGATATGCCTTTGGGGTTCTAGGCCACCATCTGGAGCCTTCCTTTGCATCTGTAGCATATCCTTAAAAAAAAGCTAGATCTTACCACCCAGGGATGGGCACCCCGCACACAAGCTTTAGCAGCCACTGAGCTCCTCATTCACCAATCAAAAAACTAACTTTTGGGTCACCCACCACTATCTTCTCCCCCACAACCTGTCCCATCTCCTAACTTATAAAGGGTTACAAACTCTGCCTCCTTCTTGGTTTCTCTTCATGTAACACTAGTAGGAGATGCCACACTTAGTTTCTATTCTTCCCCACCCCTCAAAATCTCAAATCTCTTTTCTCCACCAAACACTAACCACTCCCCACCTCATTCTTACATTGAACCCCTCGAAGAACTATTGCCCCATCCCTCTCACATACAGGAGGGCATATTGCCTCAGTCACCTATACCTGGTACACAGATGACAGCTACTTTTCACATGAGGGAACCTGAAAAGCAGGCTATGCCTTAGTGTCAGATATTGGGGTGGTTGAAACAGGGTACTCTCCACCCATACTACTAACCAACATGCTGACCTAATAACTCTCACCTGTACCTTCCAGTCAGCAAGAGGACCTTAAATGTTTATACAGACTCCAATTAAGCTTTTCATATCCTTCTGTCCCATGCTGCCATCTGGAAAGAGCGTGGGCTACTAACAACAAAAGGAGAATCAATAACTAACTCGGGTCAAATTACAGCCATGCTAAAAAGCCTCCCGTCTCCCCAAAGCTATAGGAATTATTCACTGCTGGTCTCATCAGACCATCAACTCCTCATCTGTAGGGGAAACAATTGAACTGATGAGGCAGCTAGAGCTGCAGCCTTCCAAGGCTCAGACTCAGCTCACCCACCACAGGGAATCCTTGCACTACAACCCACACCCCCACTGTGACCAAGCTCCTCCCCCTGCATCAAGACTGAACAAGGCATTCCACCATAAAGAATAGGTTCCAAAGAGCCAGCTCATGCACTGGGAACAGGTCCTGGTCTCACTTCTAGGGGCCCCACAAAAAGAGTATTACTCAGCAGAAAAAAACAATGACATCATGAAATTTACAGGCAAATGGATGGAACTAGAAAAAAAATCACCCTGAGCGAGGTAACCCAGACCCAGAAAGACAAACACAGTATGTACTTACTCATAACTGGATATTAGATAAAAAGCAAAAGATAACTAGGCTACAATCCTCAGCCCAAGAGAAGCTAGGTAACAAGGAGGACCCTCAGAAGGACACGTGGATCTCCCTAGGAAGAGGAAATGGGTGGGGTGTTCTAGGTAAATTGGGGGCGGTGGGGGGGTAAAGGGGAGGGAATGGGGGGATGGGAACATGAGTGATCGGGATGGTCGAGTCGTGGGCAGGATGGAGGCGGAGAGTGACAGGGGAGATATCTTGATAGTGGGAACCATCGTGGGGCTAGGGAGAAACCTGGTGGCAAGGAGGCTCCCAGGAACCCACTAGGGATAACTCCAGCTAAGACTCCTAGCAATAGTGGAGAGGATCCCTGAACTGCCCTTCCTCTGTAATCAGATTGGTGACTGCCCTAGTTGTCATCATAGAGCCTTCATCCAGTACCTGATGGAAGCAGAAGCTGAGATCCACAGCCAAGTACTGGGCTGAGCTCCAGGAGTCCAGTTGAAGAGAGGGTGGAGGGATTACAGGAGCAAGGAGGGGCAGAGAGGTTAAGATCATGATGGGGAAACCAAGAAACAGCTGACCTGAGCTAGTGGGAGCTCATGAACTCTGGACGGACAGCTAGGGAGCTGGCACAGGACCAACCTAGGCCCTCTGCATGTGAGTGTCAATTGTGTAGCTTGGTCTTTTGTGAAAAGTTGTTTATTAACCTTCTCTGTTGGTGCTTCTACATTAGCTGGAGGGACTTAGTTCAAAAGGAGGGGGGGCGTGAGGCAATCATTCCTCACCTCTTTGTAGCCCCAGTGCCTTACTAACCCTTTCTACCCAGGGTTGATGATAACTTTCCTGTGGAAAAGAGGAAAATACATGCAGAACATGAGCCTACTCCCTACAAGATACTTAGAGATTTTAAACAAGCCATCTCCTCTTACAGAGTTAAACCTCCATGTGCTATGGGAGTATTGAGAGGGCTAGCTGGGACAGAGTCTCTCATACCCCATGACTGGAACAAGATGACCAGAACCTGTTAAAACCCTGCTGAATTCCTTCTATTCGTGAATTGGTTGCATGAAGAAACTCTCAATCCGATCTCAGAGAGGTGTTATTAGAAACATTAGGCTTTGACAATGCTATCAGAGAATGTCGATGGGCTCTGTACCCAGAAATGACAATTTATATTATATAGGAGCCTACAATGGAAATCGGGTCTCCAAGCTCACTTACTTCCTCTGAGATAGGATGTTCTTTCTGTTCTCAGTACTGCCTTGCCCTTTGATGTGGTATGCCTCTGTCTGAGTCAGGCTGGTCCCCCAACTCCATGACAAGCAAAAGGAGATCAACAAAACCTCCTTTAAATGGCATGGTGTGGTTAATAACAATTAATATGTAAGCTATTTCTAGTAGGGACTAGATATAAATGTGTATATAAGAAAATCAGCTAATAGGATGCTCGTACATAAAAAGGTTAAAAGTGACCTTATAACTAAAATCTCTCATAGTAACTTCTGTGGACAAGCTGGGCTTTTGGGGTGTTAATAATCCTTCAAAAAGGGGGCGATACACAAGGGCAATGGACCTTCACCTGAGTGTCCAGGCACTCCCTCTCTTAGCTACATGTGTGGAATTAGGCCTTAATTACATTAGACCTCAAGGTTTTCTGGAGGAACTAAGATATACGGGTATTGAGGAATATTATTTTAAGGTGTGTGACTTTTGTTTCTGCTGCATTTGTTTAACTCTGTGAAGCTGTGTTACTGTGCCTGTCTAAAACACTTGGTGGTCCTAATAAAAGCTGAATGGCCAATAGCGAGGCAGGAGCAAGGATAGGAGGGGCTGGCAGGAAGAGAGAATAAATAGAAGGAGAAACAAGGAAGGAGGGGAGCAAGAGAGGAGGACTCCAGAGGCCAGCCATCCAGCTACACAGCAATCTACAGAGTAAGAGTAAGATTCATAGAAGTAAGAGAACAGGAAAAGCCCAGAGGCAAACAGTAGATGGGATAAGTTAAGGAAAGCTGGCAAGAAACAAGCCAAGATAAGGCCAGGCATTCATAACTAAGAATAAGCCTCCATGAATGATTTACTTAGGAGCTGGGTGGAAGGCCCCTCAAAAAAGGCCAAAGAGTAAAACCTCAAACAATATGCAGGCTAAAAGCTAAGAACAGAAGGAGTAAGTCCACCTATACAGCTACAAAAGGCTGTTAATATACTGGGCATAAGCCAATAAAAATAAATATTGCCTGGAACCCCCTCCTTTAAGGACAATGTCTTATAAAAATGGTAGATTTATTTATTAATATCTTTATATATTATGGTATTTAAAAACTTTCAATCAAGAGATTTGTATAGAAAGGCACAGATAGCTAATATAGTTACAGATGTTTGGCTCTCTGAGTGCTGCATCCCCTTTTGGTTCTATAAAGTTGTGGGATTGGAGGATTAAAAACTAAAATTCTAGGGCTGGAGAGATGGCTCAGCAGTTAAGAGCACTGACTGCTCTTCTAGAGGACTGGGTTCAACTCAAGCACCCACATGGCAACTCACAACTGTCTGTAACTCCAAGGTCCAACACCCGCATACAGACATACATGCAGGCAAAACACCAATGCATGTAAAAATATAAATAAATTTTTAGCCGGGGGGTAGGTGGTGGTGGCACACTTCTTTAATCCAAGCACTTGGGAGGCAGAGGCAGGCTGATGCCTGTGAGTTCGAGGCTAGCCTGGTCTACAGAGCAAGTACTAGGATAGGCTCCAAAGCTACATAGAGAAATCCTGTCTCAAAGAAAAACCAAAACCAAAAACAAAAACAAAAACAAAAACAAAAAACAAAAAAACAGGTAAAGACAAAAACATATGTGGTGGTTTGAATAAAGATAGTCTCATGGCCAGCAAGCACCTCACCTCAGAGATTTGGATCACTGGTGCTGGTGGAGCCATCACCATGCCTCTGACTAGAGACCTATTACACCCTTCCTTGAATGAGGAAAAGAAGAAACATAAGAAGAAATGACTGGTTTAGAGCCCAGATTCTTACTTCATGGATGTGAAATGTCCAGGTTGCTACAAGATTACTACAGTTTTCAGCCATGCTCAGACATTGGTTCTTTGTGTAGGTTGTTCAACAGAGCTGTGCCAGCCCACAGGAGGAAAAGCCAGGCTCACAGAAGGCTGTTCGTTTAGAAGAAAGCAACACTAATCATCTATACACGTTCCTGAGTTTGTGTTTTTCACAGAAAGCCTTATCAAGTTCAGTGACTCTACCAAGACAATGTAACTGTGTTTGATTTTATAAAGTATACAACGATGATCTCCTATTTTGGTGTCAGTTTTTCAATACAGTTTTAATTATGAACAACAAAAATGGTCCTTGTAGGCCCATAGGGAGTGGCACTATTAGGAGGCATGGCCTTGTTGAAGTAGGAGTGGTCTTGTTGGAGGAAGTGTTACTGGGGATGGGCTTCGAGGTCTCAGATGCTCAAAACCACGCCCAAGAGGTTCCCAGTGTCTTCTTGAACTGTATTTATAACTTAAAGTTACTTTGGTGCTAAACAGTTTATATTAAAAAAATCATAAGTTTTAAGGCTCAAACCTTTTTTTTTATTTTTTAAACATTTTTTATTTTAAATAAAGATTTTATTAAAATCTTTTCTTATTTTACATACCAATTTCTCATTTTACATACCAATTTCTCATTTTACATCCTACTCCCTACCCTCCTCCTTCCTCCCTACTTTCCCCTCACCCCACCCCCACCCACTCCTCAGAGAGGGCAAGGCTTCCCATGGGGAGTCAACAAAGTCTGGCCCATCTCTCTTTGAGGCAGAACCAAGGCTCTCCCCGCCTATATCTAGACTGAGCAAGGTATCCCTCCATAGGGAATGGGCTCCAAAAAGCCAGTTCAAGCACTAGAGAGAAATCCTGGTCCCACTGCCAGTGGCCCAGGCCACTCAACTGTCATTCACATTCAGAGACCTAGTTTGGCCCTCTGCAGGTTCCCTGCTGTCAGTGAGCTCCCACTTGCTCAGGTCAGCTGTTCTGTAGGTTTCCCCAAAATGGTCTTGACCACTTTGCTCATATTATCGTTCCTCCCTGTTTTTGACTGGACTCTGGGAGCTTGGCCCAGTGCTTAGCTATGGATCTCTGCATCTGCTTCCATCAGTTGCTGGACAAAGGTTCTATGATGACAATTCAGGTAGTCACCAATCTGATTCCAGGGGAAGGCCAATTCAGGCACCCTCTCCACTAACGCTTAGGGTTTTAGCTGGGATCATCCTTGTGGATTCCCGATAATTTTCCTAATGCCAAGTTCTGGCTTAAGGCCCAAATCTTAATGGGAATAAATTACCTTAATTTATAAAATTCTAGTCTTATAAAATTACTCATTTATAATAAACTATTAAAAGGCAATTTAAAGTATTGTTACTTTATGAATCATTAAATGCCCAGAATTATGTTTGTAGTCATTTAAACAGACATGTAACTCATTTACAGACAAGACTGGAGGGTGAGACCAATTTGTATCTCCCTTTATATAGTCTTCTGTATGTTGTCAAAGTTTAACCTAAAGCAAGCTATCACTCCTTGAAGGTTTATATTCATAAGTTAAATGGGGGCAGTTCTACCAGTTTCCCCTCATGGCCAACTTATGAAATTTCTGTAGACTCCAAATTTTGAAATCTTGGATGAGCATAACAAACCCTATGCTGAAACCATTGGAAAGAAACAGGGTCATTAAAAATAAGCTAAAAACTACTATATGGTGGTGTTACCCATCTGAGAAAGACTGGCATAGCAGGTCCATGGAAACATGGAGAGGTGAGTTTGCTTGTGTTGTTTCAGATTCAGATCAACTGTTGTGAATATCACAACAGCATATAAACCTCTACTGTAAAGCAATGGGATTTTCAACATCAGGACCCATTCAAAAAATCCTTCAAGAAGATGAAGATCACCAGTACAAAAGAATCGGCAACTCAACAGATTCATTAAGCAGAACCAAGATCCCTAAGTGGGGACAGATTAAGAAAATGTGTCAGAGCCAGGCAGTGGTGGTGTACACCTTTATCCCTTCACTTGGGATGCAGAGGCAGGTGGATCTCTGTGGGTTCAAGGTCAGCCTGGTCTACAGAGTGAGATCCAGGACAGGCTCCAAAGCTACAGAGAAACCCTGTCTCGAAAGCCAAAACAAAAGAAAGAAGTAAGGGTGGGGAGAAAAGAAGGAAAGAAGGAGAAAGAAAGGGAAGGAAAGAAAAGAAAGAAAAAGAAAATGTGTCAGGAAGCAGAATGAACCTTGAAGTAAAATCATCAGGCTATAACTCCATAATTTATTTATTATAATGACACTAAGTTGTCCACCTCTAAAGTTTCAGGTGGCACCAAAGTTGGGCCAACCTATAGTATTGAGATGTTCAAGTGTTCATGTTACTAGAACTCTGGAGGTTGGCATTGCTAATTAGAAGATAAGGAAGGAGTAATTTTTAAACAATCTGAGCCTGAGAATATGTAATGACATAATTTATCAATCAAAAAATGGAATACTGATTTTGGAATATTTAAATTACAAGCTGAATTTGGGGATCAAGGGCTATATCATTATCAAATATGGGAAAAGGGCAAAAAATGGATATTATTATAGCACACAGTCCATCCCTGAACTAGCTTTAAGGTCAATAAGACTCTTGGGCAATAATCTTATGGCTGCAATTGGCTATTGGGTGCTTAATAAGACTTCTTTTTTTCATTTTTGGTGACCCTTCTATATCAATTTGGGTGGGTTCAAGGCAGGGTTTCTCTGTGTAACAGTCCTGGCTGTCCTGGAACTTGCTTTGTAGACCAGGCTGGCCTCGAACTCACTGAGATCCACCTGCCTCTGTCTCCTAAGTGCTGGGACCAAAGGTGTGTATCACCACTGCCCAGCTCTATACCAAATTCATTAAAGACAAATTTGGTGGGATTAGGAATTCCTCCTATTGACTATGTTAACATTGCTAGGGACAATGTCACATTCCAGCCTAAGCGATATATTCAAGGACTTCCATGTCTTTTGTCTTCTATAACTCTTTTATGTTTTGACATATTGAGGAAAATTCTCAGTGTGGGGTTGTACACAACTAATTTTTAATGCACGAAAAAAGCTTTACCTGTGGACTGGTCTCTTTTCTGCAGGAAGCATACTTCCACTTCTCTTTGAATCAAATTTTTCTGGTGTATGTGGTTGTGGCCACATCTTTCCACATTGACTGACATCTGACTGCATTATGCACAGAACGTGGAAACCTTCCCAATGATTGTGATCACCATTTAAAGCTTATGTCCATCCCTGAGGCAGCTACAGTAGCTACTTCTCTTCTGCTTGGACCTGGCCTTGTAGGAATTCAGCAGACGACTACAAAACTGGCCTGGGCTATTAACAAAGCCACTAATGGTAACAGCTCAAATATTAGGAGGGTTAAATCAAGAACTAGGAGAGGTTAAGACGTCTGTACTACAAAACCCAGCAGCACTCCATTATCTCTTATCGAAAGAGCAGCTGGGATGCTGGAAATTCTCTGGCCTTTGCTGATATCTGACTACTCTAAACAATTACACGCACCTAGAACAGTTAGAAGACACAGCTTGATGTTTCTCACAATTACAACTGTGGCCATCCTGCTTTGCATGGGTCTCCCCACTTCTGGGATCTTTAATGGTTATAGATGTTGTTCTTTACTGCTCCCCAGTTCTTTTTACCTATGTCCAGCATTCCGTTGCCAGTCTTGTTACCACTATACATAAGTAAGTACATGCTTTTTAAGGATATTGAAACACAGTGGTTTTTATATTGCTAGTCCTATTTCCCTCCCTGTCTCCTGAATTTCTTTTTCACTTGCTGAATTCTTCAGGGAGGTACAATCTTCCCAGTGTCTAGCATAGTTCACTCCCCAGAATACCCATCCTATCAGTTCAGAATGAAAAGCCTTATCTACTGTATATCCTCAATATTCTCCACTTTTCTGATACATGGTCTCAGTCATATAGTAGACTGACTGAAACTTAAGCTTAATGGGCTATTCTGTGGGAGTTTGGAAGATAAGGATGCAGAGAGCAATCTGAACAACTGAGAGATAGCTTGTGACGTTTCAGAGAGAAGTTTAAGAGTTGCTCCTGTGGTAAGTTTGAAGGTTTCTGGCCAACTGGACTAAAGAATTAAATGTCATTAGCAAGAGACCTGTCTCAGTCAGAGCTTCTGTCACTGTGATAAAACACCATGACTAAAGCAAGCTAGGAAGAAAAGGGTTAATTTCACTCACTTTTCCATAGCACAATCCATCACTGGAGGAAAGCAAGGCAGGAACTCAGACAAGAACCTGGAGGCAGGAACTGATGAAGGCCATGGAGGGGTACTGCTTACTGGCTTGCTCCTATGACTTGCTCAGCACCCACCATTCTTTAAATTTTAAAGATTTATTTTTCTGTATGAGTGTGTTGTATCCCCTGAAACTGGAATTATACAGACAGTTGTGTGCTGCCATGTGGGTGCTGGGAATTGAACCCAGGTCCTCTGGAAGAGCAGCTGAGCCAGCTTTCCAGCCCCCATCAACCTCCTCTCTTATAGAACCCAGGAATACCAGCCCAGGGTGGCACCTCCCACAATAGGCTGGACACTGCCACATCAATCACTAAGGAAATGTCCTATTGTTACAGACCTTAGCACCACTGACTCCATGATGGAAGTATCATACATGCTGTAAAACTCAGCATGTAGACAACATTACCTGCCAAAACTAAAAAAGACCTAATCCATCAAAGTCCCTATAGTTCTGGGAAAGTCTCTAAATGTACTAGCCTGGCTTGTTTAGCTCCTGAAGTTCCACTTCCGGGGAACTGTTCTTGTTAACTGAGGTATGTCTATCCAGAACATGGTTTTTGTGCTTAAAAGCTCACGCTGAGGAAGCCTGGGGCTACACTGACATCTTGACCACTCAGTGTAGTCGCCAGCTGGCTAATACTTTTCACTGGCTTATGATTTTTTTTTTGTTATTGTTCTGTTACTATGAATTTCGTGAAACAGTTACCACATTTGCATGTGGAATCTGGGGTAACTTCAAATTTGTTTCCGGGCCATAGTCACTCATATTTGGCTTGAGAATACCCTCAGTCTCTCTCAGACTCACGATGCGGGCTAGCCCTGAATTCACAGAGATCTGCCTGCCTTTGGAGAGGGAGAGAGAGGGAGAGAGGGAAAGAGGGAAGGAGACAGACAGACAGACAGAGGGAGGCAGAGAGAAGGAGGAAGGGGAGAGAGAGGGAGACAGAGAGAGGGAGACAGAGAGAGGAGAGAGAGGAGAGAGAGGAGAGAG